AACAAATACAAAAACTGAAATGGGCCATACTCGTTTAATTGGGCTTAAAAAAATGAATTATTTAACAAACTCAAATGGGCCATATGACTCCAATATAATAGGTCTTTGAACAAAAAATTGTTTTATGCATCCTTTCCAAAAGAAATAAATCTTAATAGGCTTTATGATTTGTTCACACTTCTTTTAAAACAAAACACCTCCCATGAGATGAACTCCTATTTAAAACCTAATGGGCCATCAGATATTGATGATCCATTTTAAATCTACACCCCTTTTCTATATTTTACTCCTTCCTATAGAAACAAAAATTAGATATTACAATTTATTTAAAAAGAAACCTAAACATAATTATAAGGGTAGGGTAAATTTGGGGTATGATAGCGGTTTCCATCGTTTGGAGGATGGATACAGAGACATCCAGTGTGGTGCAGTACAATAGGCATAGGATCACATGAGATTAGGATTAGGCATACGCAGTAGCATGTGTTATGTTTTGTTTTTTTTTAATGTAATATTTTGACATTACGCACTTTCCAAACAACTCATGTACTAAATTATATTTTTCTATGTCTAAACATCTAATCTAATCGTTATTTCTATATTGTTATCTTCGTTTCATATTTTCGAAATAATCCTAAAAAATTTATCCGTTTAAAAGGTAGAGGTAATGATGTTTTCAACAAAAATGACACAAACAAAGAAAGTTTCAGAAATGCATATCTGAAACCATCTCTACAAATGTTTCAGATATGCATTCGAAACAACCATTAAAACTTAAAAATCCAACGTTCAAGTACTAAAACATGAAAAAATGGTGTATTCAGATATGCACATCCGAAACATGCTGATAGGTGCATTCGGATGTGTATATCCGAATGATATTTTCGGATTTTCAATGGTGAAAATCACTACTACCAAGTGGAAAGAGAAATTCTCAAATTTATTATGGTTCAATTCAATTTGATTTTCTAGCTTAATTGTAATAAACAGTCCTAAATCATAGCAAAACATAAAATATATATCGTGAAATTATTCAAACAACACAAAATGAACATAAAATGCTCCAGAAATAGTGGGAGTGGAGCTAACTGTTGCATGAATTAACATAATCGTTGTTTCCAATTCCACAACAAGTAGGTATTGATGTTTTTCCGTTTTGCAGTTTATTCTCAGGTCTAAAGTAAAATTTCCCAAGTGACCCAACATACATACAAAGAGGTACATCTTGGTTCTGAGTATTTAATTTCCCCTTTACTTTTAATTGTGCATTATAAATTAATTATCAGCATGCAAGTGTACTCATTAATACATTATTCTTATTACAAACATGTATACCAGATCCTATCCTTTGATTTGCAAGATCCTATCCTTTGATCTGCAAGATACTTGGCATGCACATTTTAACTCTACAAACTTCAAATTACATTTTTTGCACTCCCTTCTCAGTCAGTTTTAAAAATAATGATCACATGATTTTACACTAGAATTATGAATTCTGCAGTGAAAATATTCAAACTCGAGTTTGATTACCATTGTTGAATCTACACGATTCACGGCATTGTGTTACAACTTACAAGGTCTCACTATTGTTGCATGATAGGCACAGGTAGAAACTATCTGCTTCTGTTGAATGGATAGTGTGATTGAAAAATCACTAAGCTTCAGTAAAAAGATAATGAAGTAAGGGAGCAACAACTGCTATGCTTAAACTGTTCCCCAGCAATGCATACCTATATAAAAAGAACATTATAAACATTTTTAAAAACAATATAAATGTATGAATGCCAATGCAATTCAGCACTCACTGAAACCAACTAACTAATCATGCAAAGCAAAAAAAATGAAATCACAATGATAAACCATTCTACATAGGAATTCAAAACACCATACCGTTGTTTGAGACTGATGTGTTCTGGAAACGTGAAATCTTCAGGAAAAGAATGTAGGTTTGCAACCTAGTTGCAGGAAGACAAATACCTTTTAAATTAGTAATACTGCTTGAAACCAAAACAACATAATTTTATAGGTACGTGTGTGGGTTCATGTTTACGCAAAATAGACAAGATTTACAAAAATGCATGATATCCTTGAGAATAAAGAAAATCCACTTACCTCTCTCGGTGTAAAGTACCTAAGTCGCTGCTCCTGGAGTGATGTTTTGTCCCTCTTCATTGGCTGCACATTAAAATTGAGTTACTGCCTATAGCAAGAGTGGGACTAGTATCATACGCATGGGAATTGCTACAAAACTATGAGAAAAATATTTCTGTACTATCACTGCAGATATACTTTTCTTCATGAAAAGAACAGAATAAAAAAAAAGAAATAACTGAAACTACATGGTGGTTTGAAAAAAGTGTATGAGAAGAAACATATGCAAACTGTACCATAATACTTGTATTATATCTGAATCGATATTGAAAACTGCATATTTTACGTCAAATATGAAGAAACTTTTAACATCAAATGGATAATCATTCCAAAGTCTGTATCATTAATTTATCATTTCAGAAAACTGAGAATAGTTGGTAAACATAAGATGTCAAAATGATTATTAAGCGCAGAATAGCAGCCGAGTGCTTCCAAGGGATAAATGAATTGCAGTGTTATGTCATATGCATATAGTGCAGAAAGGTTTCTATTAAGAGTTTCTAACCTGAACAGTAGCCAAAAGGGAGCCAGTTCCCTTCACATATCTGTAATAACTTTTCGTAAAACAGCAGCAGCGCTTTGAATCAGGATAGACAACATCTAAACTCTTTTAAGGAAATGGGGTCAAGAGAGAATATTACTGAAACATTATTTTTTTTGGTAATAAATAGGGTTATAAGCTATTGTAAAATGATTTAAATATGCTCAAAACCAATTAATGGGGTAAGGATACCCATAGCACTTCCCCACCTCTCTAACAAGCTTGGGTGAACGTAATACTTGTCTAAAGAGTCGTATTCATCTTCATTATCTTCCCCTGAAGTTCTAGAAATGTCATTGGAAACACCAGTCGCTGAAGCCTCAGGTTCAACATTTGTGTCATTGCTAAGATTCTTTAATACAAGAAACTTCTCAATAGGTTGACATGACTGCAACAAATTGTGTCTATCCTCGAGTGATAAATCATCTTCCTTAGCATATGCGTTGAAAGGCTCAAATAATGGCTTAGGAGACTGAATCAGCTGGCGGCTCAAAAATTCATTTCCAAAAGATGACGGTTTTCTCTTAGCCTGAAAAGTTAAACACATTCAATCCACTATCACAAACTCATAAGCCAAAAGGTTTACAGCTTTGACTGACAAGAACCCTAGTTAAAGATATTAGAATAGCTAAATCTACTTTTTCCCTCCCCCTCTTTGAAATGTGAAATAAGCCATTATTAACACAACTTGCGACTCAAGTAATTAAGAACAATTTTCTCCATGAGACTACAGTGCAATTAAAGATCCAGCAGCAACAAAAAGAGGATTCAAACTTTATGAACATATTTGAAAGTATATTGTCTGAAACCAACTGATTCCTTGATGATATAAAATACATCCCAAGTTTTTTGAAAGAAGCATTTAAACTTGAAGAAAAGAATAGTCTAAGGCTAAAGAATACCTACCAGACAAAAGTAACGAGGCCTAGAATATGGAATTCCAAACTGTAAAGGGCTGAGAATGAACTCTTGTGTAATAAAATTTGTTTTCTCCAGTATTTCAATCAGTTTTGCATGTGTATCAGATGTCTGTAGCCAGAAAGGACAGAAAAATAATCAGAAACCATTAAGGAAACTTATTTAGGGTCTTAGTGAACATGTTTTATTGAAGAACACAAACCTCAAACCCGACAACATTTTCCACAAACAACATACTTGGAGGCCGCAATAGGAATGGGATGAGCTCAAGAATCTGAAGAAAAGAAAACGCCCGTGCATCCCCAGTGTCCTTCTGGAGACCTAACACAAGATTATTGAGCGACATTTTGCTTACAGAACTAAATAAGTTATCATAGAACGAGAAGAAGAAAAAATCACCTTGTCGTGTGTAAGGTTGACAGGGAGGAGAAAGGAGCCATGCGTGGGCACCATATTTGTCTAGATCAGCAGCAGTTAGGCTTTGAATATTTCCCTAAGTCATCCAACACAGATAAATTTCAATCAGATCAGTTAGATCAACAATGTCTAAGAAACTGAATAGACGTGGTGGTCTATGACATTGTTGACATGTAATGTGACATAAAATTCCAAATATACCCATCTAACCACAGTTCATGAACGCACAAACCTTTAAAATCACAATTCATAACTCAATAAGAGGCAAATTAACAATTTGATTTGGAAAAACAATACAAAAAGAGAAGAGTGAAACCTGATAAGGACGATGAGAAAAGTTATGTTGGTAAACATCATTTGCAATGTTATTGATTTCAAATGCTTCGATCACTTGCGCTTCTACTTGAGCTTTCATCAGCGAGTATCTCTGATACAAATAACTAATTCAATTTGCAAATTGGGAAAAAATGAATTAGGGTTCGATGGGGTGCGTACCATGCCGCCAATTCCACTGTAGAACTCCAGTACTCTCTGCATCTCTTTCCCCATTATTGCTGCTTGCTTGCAACTTGCAACAATCAAGCCACTTCCAACACTTTGAAAAACCAATGACCTTAACCACTAGGGTTCTGTACGTATAATTTCCTATCAATAAACTATTATTAATTTTAATCTAAAATTAATTTTAATTTCTATAAAAATTTATTTTAAAGAATTATTTTTTTAATTTCAATTTCTATTGTCTATTTGATTTAACAAAGTTGACGTGGCATAACATATACTGCATCGCTTAAAAGTCAACAACAAAAAATGAGTTACATTGGGGGATTACAAACAAACTGCTAAAAAAACATTCATAAATCAAATCCAATAATCACTGTAAGAATCTTTTTCCACCTTCGTTTTTGCATTCTATATGTTTGTGTTATTGTCTTGTCTAAATTTATGCTTTGGCTGAAAGGTGTGTTTCAGCTTACTCTATTTCTCTTTCTCTTTTTGCATACCTTTTTAGAATTCTTTGAATGGAAAGGTTCTTTGTATTATCACCATGAATTTCTCTTCTTGTTTGTCTTGGTTTACACGTGAACGCGAACTGTTCGACGAAATGCCTCAAAAGAATGAAGTTTCGTGGGGCACCATGATAGGGTGTTATAGCCATGATTGCCCCAACAAAAGCAATGTTTGACCTCAAGAATGTTGAGTATGAATGGTTTGAAATTTTCCACAGCAACCGATTTTCTATTGGAATAGTATGGATTCCAGCTGTTTTGATTTATCTAATTGATATACAGATTTAGTATTCAACATATTCTGTCTTTTGTTGGGGTTGTTCGTACGCTTGGCCGAGATTCGAAATATGCAGCAGCTAAAATTGAGGTTCCAGTTTTTCGCCAGTGCAATTCAATTTAATCTCATGCTTGAGGAGCAACTGTTGAATGCAAGAGAAACGTTGAAGAGCAAGTTTATGGGGATGACATGATTTTATATAGCGACAATAATAGTAAGAAACAAAATCTTGAAAGAAAATTTGGCAGCTCAATTTAAGATGACAGGCCTTGAAACAAATCTAATCAATTTTGTATGTGTGTATATATATAATCACTTTGCTCATATGTTGCTGCAAATATTACAACAAATAAACCAAAGGCCACAAACATGGAAATATTGCTTCCTAACATATCGGGATCTTGTAGTCTAAAGGACAAATAGAGAACTCAGTAATGGTCTGTCATTGAAAATTATTTGACAAACATGCTACTCCTTTCCAGTAAGATTACTTCTATCTCCAGTACATTCCACATTATCATTTGTTGTGTGTGAATTTTATATTCATACTGGATGTGTGTTTTCAACATCTTTTGGTACATGATACAAAAGGGAATGACATGGCATGCATGAAAAATAGTTAACACCTCTTGTAAAGTTGCTGCTATGTAGTTATGATTTTCTGGCATTGAGTTCTAGATAAATAGAATTGAAGAAGTTACACTTTAATAGATATTCAATTGCATAAGTAATAAGATTAAGCTCATTGCACTAAAAAAACATGTTAATGCAACTTTTTTATTAAGTGATTTTCTTGGAACTATTTATCCCTCACAATACATGTGTATCGTTAAATCTAGTAATGTAGTAAATTTCACAAGAAATGAAATGTCTATTCCAAAGAAAATCCCCCCCCCCCCCCCCCCCATTTATTGGATGACTATGCCAATTGTTACTACACTAGTCTCTGTCAACTGTTCATGCATGGAGTAATCAAAACTTTGCTGCAGGAATTGGATAATGCAAGGGTCCTGAGTTGCAGAATTAAATTTAGCTGTTGAAATAACTACAATGATTAGCAGTTGGAATAACTAGAATTACGCCAGTGTCAAATATCGGTTGCCTTCACCCTCCTCATCACTCTAACAATCACTTTTGGTTGAGATATCTAATCGAACAAGTTGAGTGTGTCTTCAACGGCAACTCCCGTGAAAAAATTGTTGGGACAAAGGATTCAAGAAAGATAAATATTGTGAAGAACAAGAAGAAGAGAGAAAGTTGAATTAATTAAGTGTAACTAATTCTGAACTGAATTCAGTTATTATTGTTCCTTCAATTACAAACACAATGACCATTTATATAGGTAAAATAGCTCAGACCCAAATATATATTAAAAAGTCCAAATAACTACATAACAAAAATTAATCAACTAACAGAAATCACTTCTCATACATTTCAGAAGTAGAAAAATAACACCCATTTGAATATGATGATGAGAACCTCTTGGATAAAAAGGGTCAGTTTTACCATATTTAATAATCTTGATCTAGTGGCTGATTATGAAAAATTAATGAAAAACAACAAGGTGGAGAAAAAAAACAAAGTTGAGCCAGAAACATAACTAAGAAGATGAAGAAGAAGGAGGAACATATGATTCACTAATTTAATTGATATTGACATTTGTAGGTAAAGAAAAATTGGTAACAAAATGAATCCTCAAATTTATCGAGGTTTGAAACCCCTCAGTCTAACCTTTTTTTTTTCAGTGTTCATTTTCAATGACGTCGCGTACTCGTACCATAAACAACAAGTTTTGTACTTATAAAAAAAATTGGTATTTTTTTAGGAATTTTTTATAAATATACCATCTTTTTCCAATTTAAATATTAAATTATCTTTTTTTCTTTCATAAATATTAAAATACCATCTTTTCAAATAAAAAATAATATTTTAAAGTACACCTGCTAATTAGGGGATTCTCCTATTTTATATATATTTTTATTTTATTTTATTTTTTTACTGATTTTTTTGAAAAAATTGAGTTTTTTAAAATTTCCTGCAGATTTTATTACATAATTTCTTTCTTTCGAAATTTTATGCGGATTTACCAACGAAAATTAATAAAATCATATATATCAAAATTATATATTTGAGAAATACGTAGGTAATTTCGTAAAAATGTCATTTTTGTAAGAAATTCTGTAGGAAAATCAGCAGGTACTAAACAAATAATTGAAGAAAAAAAAGTTGCACATCCATCAAATAAATGGGCGGAACCTTTTCATTTTGTACTCTTGAATGGGCAGAGCTTCTTTATAATAACAAAAAAAAATTGAAACCATGGTATATTGCTATATATTGATGAATTGAGTGTTACTTTGGTATTTCTTTTCTAAAAAGATGGTAGGACATTAAAAATTTCATTTTTAAATGCTTATAAAAGTACTTTATTACGCAAAATTTGATTTACAAGTTGAGATTTTCATTGCTTTTTTCAATAGCTTTTGAAATTTAAAAAATTCATATATAATTTTTCTTATTTTAAAAATTTTAAAATTTAATAAATAAATAATTTATAATATTCTATACACTTATGAAAAAAATATTCAAAAATTTAAAAAATTTAGGGTAAAGACCGTTTTCAAAATTTTAGAAAATAACAATGACTAAAATTGCATGAATAAAATTTTTGTAGGAAATAAAATATCTTTTTTTAATAGGGCCTAAAAATGAAACTTTAAATATTTATATGGATCAAAAACATATTTAACCCTTAATTTAAGGTTAAATAAGTTTTTGTCTCCTAAATGTCTCATATTTAGCTTTTACTCCCTTTAAACACTTTCTTCAAATAATAGTCCTCGTAAAAATTTTAATTTAAAATTTTGATCTCTCCTGCAATTTAGCGATATTTTTACAACTTAGTGACATAATTAGCGATGGTTTTAACGACGAATTTTTTATTTAGCGATTGAATTAGCGACATTTTTGACATGAGAGACCAAAAGTTAAAATTTTTAAGATGACTGTTTTTTGAAGAAAATTTTTAGAGTGACTAAAAGTAAATATGAAATATTATGAAGACCAAAAATATATTTAACCCTTAATATTAAGGTCGGGATTAGAGTCAGTGGTCATTTAGTAGAATGGAATTTCTTAACACATCCTATACTTTTCTAGCATAACGCGCGAAAATACATAAATGCCCCCAAGTACCGAAAAAATATTTCCGGTAGCATCCTAAATCAGTCCTTTGATGGACAAAACCCTATAAAAGAGCAGAGAACTAACCGAAAATACATTTACGGGTAGGAATTGGCTTCAATCAAATTCTGAATCTTTTACTTCAATGCCCAACAATCGTTAGTATTATGTCCGGGACTGCCGGAATGATAAGCACACGTTGCATTAGGATTGTAGTTAGGAGAAGAAGTTTTGGGGTTCGGATGAGGTCCTATCAATGTAATCAGATTCATCCTCAACAGGTGTTGTAGCGCTTGAGACAGCGGTATGTTGATGTTGGTAAACTGTCTTTTGGGCTCATCTGGTCTTCGTTGATTTCCCCTTTGATGTTGTCAGTGCGACGCAGAACTAGAGATCAGAACTGCCCCCACAGGTTGGTCATGACGACTCTTTTGACCATATAAAACATTGGACTCTTTCTTCCCATTGTATGGCTTTTTCTGATCATCTGAGGGTGTTGCTCCTTGGATCTTTCCGCTTTTGATGCCAGCCTCGACCCTTTCGCCAGTCAGTATTAGCTCGGTGAACCCGGGCGAGGAGCTTCCGATTAGGTGTTTGAAGAAAGTTCTTGTTAAAGTTCCCATGAAGATGTCAATCAGCTCCATATCCGTTAAAGAGGGTTGTACTCTACCAGCCAGATCTCTCCACCTTTGGGCATATCCTTTAAAGCTCTCGTTAGAATCCATGGTCATGTTCTGCAATTACACACGAGTTTGTGTAAGATCAGCGTTGTACTGATACTGCTTGTAGAAAGCAGCAGCTAAATCCTCCCAGGTGTGGATGCGAGAACTCTCCAATTGATAAAACCATTGAAGTTGAGTCCCTACCAGGCTCTCTTGGAAGAAATGGATCCAAAGCTTTGGATTATTTGTGTATGGTTGGATCTTGCGGACATAAGATTTTAAGTGCATCTTAGGGCAAGAGACTCCATCGTACGGGGCAAAGGTAGGGATTTTGAACTTTGGCGGGATGACCACTCCAGGAACCAATCCCATGTCTCCTAAATCCAAGCCAGTTATCTGTTGAATCTCCATAGCATTGAGGCGATCCTCCAATTGTTTATACTTGTCATCAACGGGAGGAAATTGTTCCTCAAAATAGTCAGCTTCGACTTCATCAATCTCCAGACTGTCGTCTTCTTCATGACTATCCCCTATGTTGGATGGAGTTGGAAGATCTAGAGCTCCCTTGACTGGTCCTCTAAGTCTTCTTCCAAATTTCAGGACGCCTACTGACTTCTTAGGCTTCTTCTTCTTGTCTTTGAGGAGGAGAGTCTTCAGGTCCTCTTGCCCCTTAGCCATGGTCAGGAACATTTGTTGAAATTGAGCGTTTTGAGCCTGAAGGTTTTTGATTGTTTGTTCAAGAGCCATTGCTGAAATAAACAGCGGAGAAGATGAGAAACCTGTTATGAAACCTATTTATGCAATGATATGTATGATATATGTATGCAATATTTTCAGGGATCTCGCGGGGTAAACAAGGAAATGTTAGAAGTTGAAATTTGACCAATAGTTTTGATTGGAGAACTTTGTATCAATGGATGTCTTCCCACGAGAATTAAGCTCACCATGTCGAGTGGGTCATAGCCTTTGACTCAAGTTGTTGTACTTGATCTTTGACGGTGTTTGTTTATAGGAAAATAAATCCTCG